TTTTTAGAGCAGTAAGTTTCCTACTAAACTAAGAGCTTTTCGAATTATAATACTTTTTTTTCATTGCGTTCCAAAATTCATAGAAAAAAATGCCTTAAAGTAATCAAACTTTAACCGTTAATATATTTTAAACCGTTAGGTTTACAAAAAAAAAATCGTAGAAGACTTTTCATACAAAATCAATAAAACGAAAACTAAACGCTTGAAAAAATAAGCAGCTGGAAGCGAGATTTCAATTTTTTGAATTTTTCTGACAAAAAGAAAAAAATGTATAACTGAAGTGCGGTTAACATGCTCGTTACAATTATGGGCTCTTACCGCGAGAGACTTCCTCAGAGATATCTAAGCACCTATTTTTCAGAGTACCAAGCGAAAAAAATATATTTTTTCTTGACCCTACGCTAATCTACATTTCATAAGCACCCTATCATAACCTTTCTTGAGAGTCCACACGGTGGTAAGTACATAACCACAAATTTTAATTATTTTTAAACAATTACATGTGTATGTTCTTTCCTTTATTTAATATCGCCACATTAATAATTAAATCACCAATTTGCTAACATTGCATAATGTACCTAATATATTTTCATATATAATAATGTATGAGTTCAGACACTAAAAAATTAGGAGGGTATTCTAGTCAAGATATGAAAAAATAAAAAAATTTACATATACCTATATATGCAATATATGTATATACCTAAAATGCAAAAAAACGTAACATCACTTTTATAAGTTTACAGATGAAGGAAAAACGTTGTAATAGAAAGCATTCACATTGAAAGAAAGTTTGAGTTTTGGTTATAAAATTCTTATGTATTGGTTACCTATTGGTTATATCTGATAGTGGGGACTGTAAATTGTATGCTATATACTATACATATGTTATATCTTGTAGTGTATCGTTAGCAATAAAAATTCAATTTATATTATTTTTTTGCATTTTAGGTGACGATATACATATATTTTTTCAAAGTTTTAACTATTAAAGCATATGTCTACAAGGATTTGGCAAAATTCAAATTATTTTCGGAGATATAAATAGGTATTTTTTTCTGACGAGAAACTTTATGCGCTTGATTTCTTTTCCCAAAAAGTATACCGACGATTTCTGCGGTTCTACTGTAGCAACTYACGTTAAATTTTTAGAGAGTCTGGTCAAATTTCAATTTTTACTATTTAAAAAATATTCGAAACTGTATTTTTCAAAACTATACGTCAAGTTCTTCGGTTACACTGCATCAATTTGCGTGAAAGACAGTCTCGTTTAAGTCTGGAACTAACCATATTTCCAAATTTCAATTTTTACTATTTTTAAAAATTGGAAAGGCATTCAAAAAATTATGTACCAAGATTTTTTTTGGGCAAATTTGTTAAAAAACTTTTTTCTAATTTTTAAGTGGAACCAGACATCGCGACATTATTCTGGATTAATATTTATTAYTTTTGGTTTGAAATTGCTAAAGCTTGAAATCGTAGGTTGTGGTCACGTGTCAGTTTTTTTGTAAAACTACAATTTATCAGCTGATAATTTTTTAGTTTTTTTAGATTTTTTTGAAATTTTCGAAAGTTTTGCAAATTTTGAATTTTTTTTATAGTTTTGGAAATTTTGATTGTTTTGATTTTTTTGAAAATTTTGAAATTTTTGTACATTTTGAAATTTTTAACCTTTTTATATTTTGTTTTTCTCCTGCCTTCTTGTAATATTATTAGATAATTAATAAATAAAATTGATAGCAAAAATATGAAGTGCCCTTTTTACGACAAAATTAACTGAAATTCATGCATCTAGACTAGAATAAACCCTCAAAATGCCAGTTAGCTATATAAAATATGTATAAAAATTAAAAAAAATTTATAAAAATTTTAAATGCATATTTTACTTAAAAAATTGCAAAAAAAAAATATTTAGTCTTTGTACTTTACTTTATAAAGCTTATTTAGTACTCAAAATGTCGACCTTTCGGCCAACAACAAAAGCAACCGCAAAGTTTACATTTAAGAGGTAATAAAAAGCAGTGTATGGAACTTGACCCCTAGGAACATGACGACTATTTTAAGCGTATGCGTGTGCAAGAAAATAAAGCCTTAACTAACTACTAGAAAAAAAATAGGACAAAAACAATTATTGCTTTTAAGTAAATGCGGTTCCTTTAAGCATTTAAGTCGCGTCTACAGCTTTTTGTTCGAAACCTCAGTTATAGCGTTTGCTAAAGTGTCCACAGCGAATTTAACATCCGTGTTTGTAATGCACATGGGCGGTTTAATGCGGAAAACCTGCAAAAGAGAAAAGGGAAAGAGAGATGTGTTGGGATAGCAAATAGGAGTGTGTTTTAGTATGAGCGAAAATGTTGGTTAAACTCAAGCAATTGATAGTATTTTGAAAGGCTAGACAACAAAGGGTTTGTTTCTATGTACAAAAGTAAACAACAACAATTGTCTCATAACAAATCTAATAATAAATAAGCAATTTAAAATAGTCTCAGAARAGTAATAGCCTTAGCAGAGCTACGCGTTTTCACTACTRYCATCCATTTATAAAGCAATATTTCGACTCACATTGCCATTTAGACCGCCACGTCCGAAGAGCACACCCATATCYTTGCAAGTCTCCCAAATTTCCAATACATGCGGCGCGCTGAGTGGCGCCCTCGTAGCGCGATCGGATACCAACTCAACGCCTATCATCAAACCCTTGCCGCGCACATCGCCGATAATCTCGAAACGTTCACGCAACTCGGCCAWGCACTTGAGGAAGTACGAACCCACTGCCAAGGAGTTTTTCTGTAGTTTCTCTTCCTCGATAACATCCAGCACAGCGAGTCCAACAGCGCTAGCCATTGGATTGCCRCCGTACGTATTGAAATGCAGTGCTTGTCCAAGCGATGCGGCAATTKTGGGTGTAGTCACCACAGCGGCTAGTGGAAAGCCATTGCCGATGCCTTTATATRAAATAATGACAGATTTATATCATTAATATTACGGTATTGCCGTCCAAGCATTTCAACTAACTTACCCTTCGCCATTGTAACAATGTCCGGTATGAAGTCGTGGCTCTCAAATCCCCAGAAGTGATCGCCGGTGCGTCCGAAACCGGTTTGTACCTCATCGGCGATGAACACACCGCCATTGGCRCGCACYAACTCAGCCGCCTTCTTAATATAACCTTTCGGATATTGCACCGTGCCGCCTACGCCTTGTATAGATTCGGCGAACATAGCGGCAACGCGTCCACGCGGCAGTGAGTACTTGAAAACTTCTTCTAATTGTTCATAGTAACGCGCGCCAGCCAAACARCCGCTCTCCGGCATGCAGTCGCATTTTCGATCCGTTTGTATGGGTGAATCSCGACAATTTGCGCCGCCCCAAAGGCCCAAATACGGATCTGGGTTCATAACATGGTGAATACCGCTATTGACGCCGGGTAACGGAAAACGCCATGTCGAGAGCGCKGTCAGACCCATGGTGTACGGCGACATGCCGTGATAGGCATTGCGGAAAGTGATAATATCCTGATTGCCTGTGTGCATGCGCGCCATCAGCATGGCCAGATCGTTAGCCTCCGAGCCGGAGTTGACAAAGCACACCGCTTTAAGTTCGCCAGGGAGCTTGKTCGCCAAACGTTCGGCATATTCGTGTATTTTRGGATGCAAGTAAATGTTTGTTGTRTGCCAGAGTSTGTTGATCTGCTGCTCTAGCGCGCRATTCACTTTGCTGTTGAGGAGCAGAGAAGAGAAGAGAGTTCAAACTATTTAACCTCATCCAAAAAAAAGATGAACTCATTTGTTACTTACGGATGACAGTGACCYACTGATACTGTCACAATACCGCCGAACATATCCAAATAACGACGGCCCTCGTGATCGAACAGCCACTGCATATGTCCGTTGTGTATCAGAAGYGGCTTCTTGAAATGCGGCACAATGTTTGGTGTAATATGCTTCTGTCGTATCTCCAGTATTTTCTCGTAACTTGGYCCCGTATATTGTAGTGGTTGATAGTCACATTCGGGTATTTCACTTTGTATTTCCGGCATTACTGCTGGTGAAGCCTTCGAATGCAATGTTGTGGCGGTACGTTGTTGAAGGCCTCGGCACATCAAGCGCGTCGTTTGGACTAAAATTTGAATTTCATTGTGGTTAAATATAARGATAACTAATATACTAAAGATAGAATGCTGCTCGTCATATGTAATCTAATGTAATGAGTTCTTTTTGGGAAGCTGGCTGCCAGCTGGCTGTATATAAGGAATGCAGGCACCATGCCTGGCCAATGTTAAGGTGACACTCGCGCCGCGATGTACTGTTAGTTCACAGTTCTGTGGTGACTTCAGAGCAGCTGCCTCTCTATAAGAAATGCAGGCACTGTGCCTGGCCACTGTTAAGGTGACACTCGCTCCGCGATGTGATGTGATTTAACAGTCGTGCGGTGACCTCAGGGCAGCTGGCTGCTAGCTGGCTCTATATAAGAAATGCAGGCACTGTGCCTGGCCACTGTTAAGGTGACATTCGCGCCGCGATGTAATGTTAGTTCACAGTTCTGTGGTGACTTCAGGGCAGCTGCCTCTATATAAGAAATGCAGGCACTGTGCCTGGCCACTGTTAAGGGGACACTCGCTCCGCGATGTGATGTGATTTAACAATCCTTCATTGTCACATGCGTTAGGGTCAGTTGGATTACAATCTGAGAGCTATTTGTTTGGCAATATAAAAAATAGATGCATATACATAAATATATTTAATGTGATCTGAACCAAGCTRTCACATGGTCAATTTGTCTAATTTGTCTAAAATGTATATAATGTTYTACTGATTAACTATCAATTAGTAAATTATCACGTGTTATTCGCCGTTATTTGTAAACAAATTACATTTTATTCGCTCTTTCTTCGTGCTCATGTGATGACTCCTACGAGCTGATTAAAGTGCATCGAATTACAAATTTACTTYGCATATTGTGCAAAAAGGCAAAATAAACCGACATATCCGTATTAACACGTACAACAATTTACATCGTAATCGCGGCAAGTTAAGTCCGAATCAACTATGCACTATGTATGAGCTGCGCCATAACGGCATCGCACGATCACGTTCAGGGCCATTTTAGTGCATTAATCTACTTATATAAGCGAACAGAAGAGGGAAGAGAATTAGAAAGTTGGGTGGGAGTGCATTAATTTGTTTTAATTGCGGTATGTTGGGTGGCAAAGCTTATATTAGCAGCTATAAATGGTAGAAAAACTTATTAGGTTAGTAAAATATATGACCTCGCAGTCTTAAACCTTGTCATATGCCACAAATTTCAATTATTTAAATTAAAAATATTTGCATTATGTGCATCGGGTATAAAAAGAAAGTGCAGCAATGATCACGTGTACCTAAACCTGCAGCCGACAATGTAAATGTGCAGCCGGTGCAATTGAATTGCAAATGATCGCTTTACATACAWATATGCGTACATATTAGTCAAAATTAAAACTGATAAGACAAGACAAGCATGTGTCGAGTCAAGTTCAAGACGCAATGACGCTGTTTGCTGACCGCTGATCTACAATAATCTAAAAATTACTGGAATCTTAAGGTATGGGTAATAGARGACAAACGAGATAAAAGTTGAGGCGTAATAGACATACATATGAAATATATTAATGTATTCTACTATTTAATCTAAGCTAAAAATTGCTTGAATATGCGGTTATGCTCTTATTTAAATGTACAGTGCTGTACGAGTATATATACATATTATGTATGTGCTTTGCTCATTATCTCCGTTGTTACTTTTAGTTCATAAATCACAATTATCACGATTTTCACTTTCAAATATCATTTTTTATCTTATCAATTGTGAAGCGTCTGTCTGCTTAGGCTACTTAGTTTCATATTAAGCTGCTGTCAAATAACGTAAATGCTGGCCCCCAACGAARCTGATAAGAAACCATACGACACGTCCATTACGGCTGCCAGATGCGCTACAGTTCAGGCAAGTTTGCTGCTCTTTACAACATTCAAAAGAAACGTTAAAAAAAAGTTCTTGCTTTGCAAAAAATTATTTAGTGTAGATTCCAAAAAAAATAAAATTTAATATACGTACATCTATTTTTTTTTATTTAATAT